ACGTACTAATTATTTAATTAGTTAGTACGAGAAGTAGTACTACTACTAATACGTACTCGCACTAGTAGTACGACACACACAGATAGTAGAGTAGTGGGGGGGGGGAGGGAGAGAGAGAGAGGTTGGGAAACACGGAGAGAGAGGGATTTGGGGAAACATGGGGAGACAAGAGAGTAAGAGACATGGGGGGAGAGAAAGAGTGGGAAAATAGGAACATAAGAGAGGGTTTGGGGAAAGTTTTAGAGAGAGAGATTTAGGAGAAAATAGCGTTTGCAAAATCGAACCAGAACGGTTAACCAAACATGGGGCCAAAAGCGGTTTAACGAACCAAACTGGTAAACTGGCCGTATCAACCGTTCTAACTTGGCAAGTCTCTGATGGCCAAAAATTGTTGAAAAAAGTAAAAAAGATGAGAAAAAAATCTACTAAAATATGAATTGCATATAAAGAATTATTAATACAAAACACATTCAAACGAAGTTGAAAATTAATGAAAAATAGATTTTAAAAGTGAGTATTAATGACCAAAACAATTTTTAATATTTACCATAATGTAAAAAATATATTTCAAATCAAATTTCTTATTTTTGAGATTTTATAAATATTTTTTTGAATTTTTATTTTTAAAATACTGATTGATCACCAAAATCGTATGAAACCGGAACCAACAAGGGGCGATTCCGATCTAACAGGACTGTTACGGTTAGATGGGGTGGTTTTTCAAATAATGGGGGAAAATCACATGAAGAGAGAGAAAAGATGAGGTTTAAAAAGGATATATCTTTCTTATATTTGTTTGGACAAAAAATAAAAAGGATAAAGTTAGCTTAAGAAGTTAGAAGATATAAAACTTATAATTTCTATAACTCAAGATATGTTTTGAAACCTTGAGTCTATTGAGATATAAAACTTAAAAATAGAGGGTATGGAAATATTTTTCCTATAAATAGTTGTGACCGCATATGGTACGTATGGTTATAAATAAGGGTGAGGTTGGTATAAGGTTGCCTCCTTGTGTTGTACAAGTAAGATGCACCTATAAACTTTAGATGTTATTTGGGGTTGAAAACTTTATGATAGCTTCACAATATCTTTTTATCCTCATTTATAAAATTTTAAAATTTTAAAATCCTAATTTCTAAAATTTAAAAATGGTACAGATTGAGCATATCAAGAAACACTTGAAAATTTTAAACATTACAGATCGAGCGGATAAAAAAACAATTGAAAATAGAAGCTCCAAATAAGTTACAAAATGCACTATTTTTTAGACTTGAAATTTCCTTTTACTTCATGTTCATTAATCTCGAGGTCGAGATGATCAATTAAAGGATTCTCTTATGCCGAAATAGCAATAGGAGGTCGAGATGATAAAAAAAACACTCTCCGATATAGGATTTTTGAGGTGGACAATAGCAACCTTGTATAAACTTTTTCCTATAAATTTCGACAATAGGAGGTCGAGATGATAAAAGAAACACTCCCCGTTATAGGATTTTTGAGGTGGACTTTACTTCAATAGCAACCTTGTATAAACTTTTTCCTATAAATAATTGTCATCTCCTCATATAAGTGTCGAGGGAATGGGTCCCCTTGTTTCCATAAAATTAAAAAGACAATCTCCCCTGTCCATGTGGCATATACCATCCACCACCTGTGTATGTAAAAGAGAGGGACGAGTATTTAGCGTCAGATGCATCTACAAAAGGAGGGAACCAGGAGAACATTCTCACTCGCTCTGCTCTTTTGAATTACCTCTTCATTTCATCCTGTTATTAGTTTTATTGATGTGTGTGAGAGAGAGAGAGAGGTGGAGAGATGAGAGAGAAGCTTCCCATATGCAAGTTCGAAGAAGAGATCGTGAAGGTTGTGAGGGAGAACCCAGTGGTGGTGATAATAGGAGAAATTGGCTCTGGCAAGAGCACTCAGCTCTCACAGATCCTTGACAGGCACGGCTACACCGATCGTGGCGCAATTGCCGTCACTCAACCACGACGCGTGGCCGCTGTCTCTGTCTCCAGGTCTCTCTCGATTCTGCTGTGTATCGATGCATTCTTTTGTACACGGTGTCCGATGAATTAGGGAACAGGACTTGTTTCTTTGAGGGGATCTTGTGGCATGTCCTGTTTCTCATCTTCTTTAAACTCAGTTTTCTCTTTTTGCAAGTGATGATGCAGAAAAAAATTTCAAAATTCAAATTATAATTTTATTATTATTAATTTGTTTTTGAGTTAGGAGGTGCACAGGGATAATTAGGTGGGCATGAGTTTATGTTGTGCTTGAATTGATATTGATTAATTGGGTTGGTTAGTTTCTAAAAAAAAGAAGAATATAAATAAGATGAGGTTAAATCTAGGGGTTTATTTTTTCAACAATAACCAACTTTGGGAGTGGGAGGCTTTTAGGTAAAACGTGTTCTATCTATTTATAATAAAATCTTTGGCACGTGAAGTTAAGAGAGAGAAAATAGATATTAGAGAAAATAGGTTAAGAGAGAAAAAAAGTGCTCTATCTATTTATAATAAAATCTTTGGCACATGAAGTTAAGAGAGAGAAATAGGTATGTGAAGTTAAGAGAGAGAAAATAGGTATGAGAAACAATAGATTAAAAGAGAAAATAGGGAGAAGAGATAAAGTAGGAAAAGTCAATGTAAAGAGAGGTTTTTTTGTTTAGTTGTTGTTTATCTTCTTTTTAGCATATTTAAAGGGAGATCTCCTTCGTTAAATCAGTGAACGAGTTGAATAGAATTTGGTCATAATGTTTTTGCCTCATACCTTTGAGGGAGGGTATATTCTCTCAATCTTTTTTTTTTTATTGTTATTTTTCTGGTTTTATTTTCTCCCTGCATCAATTGGTTTGAATTTTGTTTGAAATGTTTTTTCGCTGCATCATTCTCCAGGGTTGGGAGAAGCTCGACCTCAAGCTTCAAGCCAATCACCATCGGCTAATTGGTAATGCAATCCTACCTCGCGTCTCGATGCATTTTCTTCAATTTCTTCAAGGCTAACTTCTTCTTTAATGTATTCAACATTAATGTAAGACTCTTTGCCTGCAGCTGTGTTCCAAGAGTAATTGTTGAATACGAGCTCGGGTTGATTATGATTATTCCTAACTAGGAATGGGTCCAGCTCCAAATAAGGATCATATGTAATCGTTGAGCACTTTTGATCATGAGGTTTTGGGAGATTGATTTTAATACCAAAATTTCGTTGTCACTCTATAGAATACATATCTGGCCTATAATCTTCGTTATGCTCAAAATCAGTACCCTGGGTTTGTCGTGGAGTGATTGATGCAAGATTAATGTGGTTGTGAGTGCCTTCTTCACGTGAAAGATTGTTCTCCAACCTCTAATCCAACCGTTGCATCCTCTGATTCATCTCTTGATTTATCTCACGTACTTCAGTTCGAAAATCCTCTAGGGCTTTAGTCAAATTTTCTATAAAGATTCTTCAATTGGACGTTTGTATCGCTTAGCCAAAAAATATTGAAGTTATCTCATCTTTGAACTCTACTCAATGTTGTGTAGCTGACAACATGTATTAGGTTATCAGGTACAGATTACCCAATTTATAGTTTCTAGTGCTATGGCCCTTGTGATGGTTCACAGTCGAGTTTTGTGAGAGTGAACATATTGTGACAAGGACGTGTTTGTACATTTGAGGAGAAATAAAAATATTTAGAATATAACTATGATTTTAAGTGTAATATGGAAGTAGTTTTACAATTTAAAGCCAGTGTTTCAAAAAGCACCAGGCGGAACCTAGGCGGTCGGGGGGGTCTAGGCCGCCCAGTAGAAATTTTTTTTTTTTGGGTTTTCTCTCTCTAAAATAGCCTCTAATGGGTTTCAGGTTTCAAATGAACCTAAAACCCACAATTTTACCCATTTAGTATTAAAAAAAGACCCAAAAATACCCTCAAGGAACCGCATTTCTGCCCTTGGGTAGGGCGCAAGCCCCGAGCGGCCGCCTAGGGGGGTTTAGGCGGGCGCCCAGGGATATCCGCCTAGGCGGCCGCCCAGGCGTTGGGCGGTCTGCTTTTTGAAACAGTGGTTAGAATAATGACTGAAAATTCCACTGAATCCACTCGGACTTGGCTCCTTGCCCAATCGAGTAAGTGGGTTTGACATCCAATTCGGGCCCCTTAATGGCTTTTTGAAATAGTGGTTGGAGCAATGACTGAAAACTCCACCGAGTCCACTCGGACTTGGCTCCTCTCCGAGCCGAGTAAGTGGGTTTGACATCCAATTCGGGTCCCTTAATGTTTTTTTTAAATCTTAAAAAAATATAAAATATGAGACCAATCTACAAATATTTGTATTTATTTTGGACTTTTTAATAATGATTTGTGAGTTTTTTGTTATATAGCCTATTTTCATATTTTCCTCTTTTTTTGGTATCTTCTAAAATATCTCGAACCATAAATCATTTTTTCTAAATCTATATTTTATGTATTTTTTAGCTTTTTTGGACTTTTTATGTTGCCTTTAGTTTTTCTTCACTTTTACAAATTTTATTTTATTTTAAAAAAATGATTTTTATTTTTTAAGGTCTTTTGGCCCTATAAACTACATGATCAGGTCTGCTTGGACTCCACCAAGTTATTCGCTCAGGCCAGGACTGAGTTTGGGCCCTGAGGCAAGTTAAAAAACATTGTATTGGAGGATCCATACACAATAGATGCCATTAATCATCATGTGAAAGTTTAATACAACTCGCTGTAAAATCTCTACATTAATTAAATGAAAGTTAATTAAAAAAACAATATCATATGAAAGTTAGCAACAGCATCCCATGTACTTTTTGATGCAGTTGTTCCTAGAATATGTGCATGCAGGCCATCACTTGCTGACTGAAAGAGCAGTGCTTCTGAGTGTGAATGTGAATTTACCTTATTTCATGTCTTTCCTAATCTTTTAGCTTTATTACTGAGATTCTTTATCAGCTTTCTTAGTCTTGTAGATGTCCTGTTAGTCAGTTATCCTACTCAAAGTAGCATTGTTCTAGTTGGATTGACTGATTTGGTAGTAGATAATTTTAGAATTTTCCTCTTTTTAGATAATTTCACATATTGTATGATTTGTGAGATTTCTCTAGGTGTATGTGTTAATAATGCTTTATTCTTTACACAAACATATGCATGTATGCAGTTGTAGTTTAAGGGGATAGTTGACAATTTGTTTTTGCTTGAAATTTTGAATAATAGAATGATGTTTATACTTGTAAAGATTACCAATATCATGTTTAGCTGTTTTTTATTGGTCTAATTTGTGGATGTACCAGTCTTTTCTTTGGTTTAACAGTTTTTGAGTTATGTAAAGAAGTTCAACTGTTTTGCTCATAGGAGAGTTGCGCATGAGTTAGGTGTTCAACTTGGAGAGGAAGTGGGGTATGCCATCCGTTTTGAGGACCGAACTTCAGATAAAACTCGCATAAAGTATTTTCTATATTCCTTTCTATATATCTTTCTTTTTGACTAACCCACTTTTTCAGTGAAATTTGATTTGAATTATCTTGAGGTACAGTTGTTCTGACAAAAATTCTTTGAACTTTCAGATACCTGACTGATGGTTGTCTCCTTCGTGAAAACCTTTCTGATCCAGAGCTAAAGCAATATTCTGTCATCATATTGGATGAAGCTCATGAGAGGAGTTTAAACACGTACGCTTAATGTTTTGCAATATGTTTATGAGTGTTGATTGACATTTTAGAACATCGAATACTTTGCTGGTGAGCGCAAAAGATAGCATCTAGCTTTATATATATTTTGAGACTGGTTTGCTCTGTTTATGGAAATTTGTATCTAGTTGCAACAAATAGGTAGCCACGATCTCTGAATTCGACCCTTAAGTTCTGTTGTGAATTTTTGGTTGTATGGTTACTTCATTTTGTTTGTACAGTCTGAGCACCTGCTTTGTGGGATGCCTATATCCACAACTTGTGGGGTTTTTGTAACAATACCTACACTTAATATAGTCATCTTTCTCTCAAAAAAATATGAGTAGTAGTCTTAATCTTCCTCTTCATTAGTTGTCAGTGGAACATTTACTTTGAATCAGTTTATTTACTAGTTTCTTGCGACCATTTATCATTGAAAGCATAAATTTAAATGGGAGATTGGTTGTTTCTAATAGATAGAACTTTCCATTATGTTTGTGATTCTTAATTCCTCTTATTCACTTTTTACACCTTGTGACATTTTTTTTTTTTAACTATTCCTTTTGACATTTATGCATCCCCTTTCTTGTTGATTATTTCACACTTGCCATATTTCTTTTATTAGTTCCAGCTTAGTGTAAATGTCATTTATCTCACAGTGGTCTCGTATATGCCTTCCTAGTATTCATTGGCTCCTTTTTAACCACATAAAGAGAAGTCCTGTTTAATTTGATTTAAGTTAACATCTTTGTATGATATAGTTTCCTTCCTTCATTCCTTTTTCTTTGTAGACATTTTAACGGGTAGGTATGGAACCCTTGACATCAACTTGTGGTGCCACTACCCTGACCATCCAGGCCAAGGGTCTTCCTTCTTCCTTTCCATTATTTGCCCATGGGTTTCTAATTTTAGTTACTCATATTCTTGATTGTAGTGACATATTGCTTGGCTTGATGAAATGCTTGGTTCGGGTACGGCATCTAGATTTGAGGGTTATAATCACATCAGCAACTTTGGATGGGGCAAAAGTATCAATTTTTTTCTCTGATTGTCCAATTCTTGGGGTGCCGGGGAAGTTGTTCCCTGTGGAAATATTTTACAGCAGTGAACCCCCAAAAACCTATATTGAATCTTCCTTGCAAAGGGCTCTTGGTAAGCATGCAGCTATAAATTTTGTTTACATAGTATAGTTGTACAGAATAAACTTTCAAACTTTGATGGTTTGCATTATTTGGTTCTCTTGATTATGTTCCGTACATAGTTAGCAAGTCGGGGGAATAATAATATATCGGCAAGCCAAAACATTGGCAATGAATCGGTTTTGTTTGAAAAAGTCGGTGGAAAAAATCGGGTAAACAATACAGATCGCCAAAAAATGAGGTAAGTTATAAAGTCGTGAATAATTCGGATTTGTCTCAAAAAAATGGAGTAAAAAAATCGGATATGTAAAGATGACATAATATAAGAGTATGATTTGCAGTTATTGTAAAGATACATTAAAGCCATTGAACAATAATTTTTGACCTTTCCTAGTGTTGTTAGAGTGATACTCGACAATTTATTGTCTAAATTTTCAATAAGTCCAACAATAGTGCTTACTCTGTTGTCACAACACGAAACATATCACATATTTATTTAGAGCATAAAATGAAATTATAAATAATACTGAACACAAGAACTACGTTAGTAGATAACGACAATGGTAAACTAAGATATAGGATTATTGTTTGAAGAAAAAATAAAAAAACACCAACAAACCCTCAGTATAGGATTGCAATTAACTAAAAGAAAAGACAGACCCAAATACGTAAAATAGCAGTCCATCCAAAAAATGCTATGTTGTAAACACCAATAAAATGAAAAAATAAAAAATAAAAATAAACAAACTTCTCTTTATGGAAAGAAAGCAACAAAACGTTTAAACAAATTTGAATCTCACACTGAATTCCTAGCTGATTAAATCTTTAGTATACAAAATCTTTAAGCACTTTCGAATCTCTCACAAAAGTCTCTTTATAAGGATGCACTGGATTTAAAGAAAAAAAAAAAATATTTCCATTGGGTTAGTCTTCTAACTCTGCCTATTATTTTGAGATATACAATTGTTTTGATATCTTATTTTTTGGGGAATATATTGTTTGTAATCATTTTTTAAGGGAAATTATTGGTGAAACGTTCTATGGAATTTTACTTTAAATCAAGATTCTTAATTTATTCCTACTCTTAATTTGCTTAGCTTTAAATAAAATTTCAATAATACTAAGTTGATGAAAAAATAAAGTTATAGGGAAGAAGTTTTTTTGAACGTTTTTTTGAAAAAAGATAAAATACGGGTTTACATCGGTTCCGTGAAAAAAACACGATTTTTTGAAGATCTTTTGAAAAACTTGGATTTCTAAACGGATTTCAAAAAATCGTGTTTTAAACGGGGACTTGCTAACTATGGTTCCTTATCATGTTAAGTCAATATGATTATTAGTACACCTTTCTTTGATTATGAAATACCCCTTCGTATTAGAACACAAGCTTGGTTAACATTGTTCTCTTAATTAAATGAAGTGCGCGTCGTATAAATTGAGCCCTTGCGAGACATTAATACTGTCAAGCAATAAGAGTCACTTACTAAAGCCAAATGCTTTCCAAAATCTTGAAGAAGCGAGTGGGATGAAGTAGCCTTAGTTGATTACCAATCGATATCAAGTTGCTATAGTTATGATTTTTTGGAACTTGTGAGTCATGCAGCTGTACCTAGTTGTTACAAATATTGAGGATGAAAGAATCCCTATACTCCTGTGAGTTGCCTTGTCATGTTATATGTCCTCTTCCTCGTCCCTATACTCCTGCAAGTGGCCCTGTTTTTGATAGAGGGAAATTGAAAGTGAATAGAAGAATCAGCAAGACATCAAGCTGAACACAGACAACAATCATGAGAAACCTAGGGATTCTTCCTTAACCCAAACGAGGATTTCAAGTTAGAGACCACTCTCTCTCTCTCTCTCTCTCTCTCTTTGCTGTAAAATCATGTGGAATGACCCCTTTAACCCCCCATACCTCTTAAATAATAGTATTTAGTGTTCAAGGACATTAAATATTTATACAATGATCAAAATGAGCTCCAAAATCCTAACTTAAACACAAAATTCGTACTATCTTACCCCTGACATTTTACTCTAAGTACTTTTCTAAACTGCTAAATAATCTTAAAAATATAAAAACCCTATAATCCCAACAAATTTTAAAACCCTAAAATTAAAATTAAAATGTGCATCACTTAAGATTAAACAAAAATTAAAACTAAGAATAATATTTTCCTACACCAATCTACCCTAGTTGTAGAAAACTTGTCCTTGAGTTTTGAAGTAGGCTAAAATGAATTTTGTGTTTATTCCACAACCTCCTCAACCAGAAAATTGTGCTTTGAATCCTTGGAACTGTGGGTTATTGGCCTAATCAAAATACAATACTTATGCATTATGATTGGGGCTTTGAAATCATCTGATATGTTCATAAACTCTTTTGAGAATCCCTTGAGGAAAAAGTCATTATATGTCGATAGAAAAATTATGATATGTACACTTGGTTCAGTCGCATAAACAAGCTAAAATTGGATTGGTTCAACCATATCACCCTGCTGAAATTGCCTTGGTTTTTTATTTGAAGGAGGACATTCTTAATTTTAGCGCAGGTTAATATCAAAATTAGCATGTTGGAGATTGAGATTATAACCAATCTTTAATATGTGCTTAGATGAAGAATAAGATCTTGTGGGAGATACGGTCTATGATGATAAACAAGAAGGAATGGAAGGAGAATCAATAGGTGTAGTTGTTGGTTCAATAATGTTATAGGGTTGAATCGATGCAATTTGAACAAGTTATGTGGCTGAACAGACACTATCGACATACAATGACCCTTTGCTCGACAGTTTCTCAAATTTTTTTATGAATATATCAATCAAGGTTTAAAGAACGGTGCACTCAGCAGCTAGGTGCCCATTACACCTCTGTCCGCATGCCTAGACCTGGGCACCCCATTTTGGGCTGCTGTACTTGGGCAGGCGCTTAGGGACGTGGGCTTTTTTTTATTTTTAATGATGCCCAAAAGGGCAAAGGGGGTAATTTTGATCCGCAAAAAGGTTTAAATAAGTTGTGGGATTTTATTTTCGACCCCCCAAAGTTAAAAGAACACTTTTTTAAGCCCTCAATCTCTTAGCTATACCTATTTCTGATAATCAAAAGTATTTTTTGTGGTTTGAAGAAGCTTCCCAACCTTTTCTGTTATTATGAAATATGGAGAGTTGGAGACTAATACTAATACATAGCTTGTTAGACTTTTAAATTTTCTAATTTTTTATGGTTTGAATTTTGTAATTTTGAGCAAGTTTTTTCTCAACTTGCGATATGTCATATTCAAGGCCCTCAACTCGGTGCAACGCTTGAGGGCCAGACCTAGATGTATTTAAGTTCTTTTTAATGTTTTATTATTTCCTTTCTTCATTTGTTCTTATTTTTAAACACCTTCAATGACTTGCTCTGTTGTTTTCTTCTATTATTTCTTGAAGCCTCTTTGGTTTTACACAAGTCTGAGCGGGTCACTGGCTGACTATTTGCGAGATAGAAGTCTCTTGTGATATCTATTTCTCATATATTGGAATTTGACGGAACCCATCTCTCCATAGATTTAAATTAAAAAGTTTAAGCACTCATCAGCGTAGAATAGACTTTAAGTAATCTGTTTCGTCCTATATTTCGCATATAAACAAGGGTTTATTTAGGGTATTGAGCCTGTGCCTCTTAGTTATGGACGACTTAGCTAGGCACCTACAGAATGAGGTACCATGGCGCATGTTGTTCGCAGATGACATAGTTTTGATTGATGAGACTCAAAATGACCCCAACACAAAGTTAGGAACTTTGGAGGGATGCTCTAGAATCCAAAGGTTTTAAAATTAGCGGGACTAAGACAGATTATATGGAATGCAAATTTAGTAATAATATGAGTAGAGAAGAGGAAGTAGTTAAGATTAACGGCTAGAAAGTACAAAAAAGACTACAATATCAATATCTTGGGTCAATAATCTAGGAAGATAGAGCGATTGAGGAAGATGTCGCACACAGAATACAGTTGGGTGGGTGAAGTGGAGATGTGCAACTGGAATTTTATGTGATCGCCGCATACCAATGAAACAGAAGGGCTAGTTCTACAGGACAGTTGTGAGACCAGCTTTGCTTTCTTGGGTGGATTGTTGGGTAGACAAAAAACAATATACTCATAGAATGAGTGTAACGGAGATGAGGATGTTGAGATGGATGAGTGACAAGACAAGAAGGGATAGAATTCGAAATGAATCCATTCAGGGAGAATTTAGGTGTGGCACTAATAGGCGTCAAGATGAGAGAGAAGAGACTTAGAGGGGTTGGTTATGTGCCTGACTAAGTACAACACCTGTTAGGACGTGTGAGTTAGGTCAAGTAAAATGACTGAAAAGGGCAAGGGGTAGGTCCAAAAGGACGTGGTTGGAAGTAGTCTGAAAAGATATGGTTTATGGCCTGACTGAGGGTGTGATATTTAATAGAGCAAAATAGTAGATCAGGATTAGTGTAGTCGACTCCAATTAATTGGGAAAATGCTATGATGATGAAGATGTTTTTTTAGGGATTCTAAGAGCTTTTTATATTTTTAGGATTTTTAGAAGTTGTTTAGAAAAGTACGTAAAGTGTCTCAGGCAGGCGCCCAACCCTATCTTGGGTGGGCCGCCTAGATACTTGGCCCTTTTTTCGAGAGTAAAGTGCCTGGTCTTTTTGGCCCACAATTTTTTCATAAAAGGCTATTGGTGGTAGTCTAAACCCTCAAAGTGAAAAAATTGGAACCTAGGCCCCCAAATCTATTGATTTTGAGATATGTGAATAAAAAAATAAAAAATAAAAATCCGAGATTTCAAGAAACATCCATAAGCTTTCTCTTCATTGTTGGAATTTCATCCATAAGCTTATACTTCTCTTTTGTATTTCATCATGTCTAGTTGTGATAGTGTTCATGTGTCAGTATGGATTACGCCAAACTTAGTGTGGATCAGATAGTTGGAGATTGTCACACCATGGACTTGTTTATGTTTTTGACTTTTTTCCCACTAAACTTTCAATGGTTTGAAGTTTTAAATGCGTTTCAACGTTCATGTATATATATTTGCATGGAAAATGTTAGTTAGAATACATATAAATGCAAAAAATACAAAATTAACAAGATATATATGCAACTTTTCATCAGAGAGCACCAGGCTGGCCGCCGGGCGTTTTTTGAAACACAGGACGCATTTGTCATGGTGATATGAAATATCTACATTTACCTTGTTCCTTAAAGTCCCTTTGGATATCTTGAGAGCCTCATTTGGCCTTATTTTCGACTACCACTAAGGGCGTCTGTGGAAGTACGCCGTTCATCATTCCATATAAACGACGCCTTGAGATGTTTGTTTTTTTCCCTGTGGTTGTGCCGAAAGAGGTTTTCTTTCCTTTTGCTGCCTGTGGGGTGTTATTCCTTAAAAGGCATCTGTGAATAGTGGAGTGCCAAGCAGGCATGCTACTTATTCTTGGGTAACTTTTAAGGAAGTTTTATTCCTAACCCGAAGAATTGGGATGTTTGGCCTATGATAATACTTCATATTCAAGGGTTGATGCCATTATTAAATTTCATGTTTTGAATCTTTTTGTGGAATTTTTGTTTTTGTGTCCTTAACATTTGTTTTATTTACGCGCTTAATACTTTGGGATTCACTTACCCAAAAAATATGTTTTGGGATTTGTTATTTCAAGTTATTTGGTTTCCACTTGATGTTCGGCTGAAGTATACATCACCAACATTGACAAATGTTTGGATGCATGGGGTACAATAACTTTGTTTTATTGGGATGACCAGTCTTCATTCCCCATTGTCATGCATCTGCTACATTGTCCATGTATAGGTCTTTTATAAATGTTTTACCCCTAGCTGTAGAACAGTGACTCTTACACAGAAGGTACATTGGGCTGCTTTGTTGTTTTCAATGCTTAGTTTGTTAGAGTCATATTGCAAAAGTTTTATTTGGCTCTGATCTTTGTAACTTTAATTATAGATATACATGTCAAGGAACTGCTGGGGGATGTCTTACTATTCATGACAGGACAAGTGCGTAATGTGGTTTAGCATTCAAAATGAATCCACTTGTTAGTCAGTTTCTTTGTTAATTTAACCCTTCAATCCTGTCTTCTTGTGAATGACTTTTTATCCATGCATGTGTAGGAAGATATAGAAAATACAGTTTCAAAGTCGGAGGAGAGAATCCGGAGTTTGGAGGAAGGCTCTTGCATGGGTGCCATAAGCCTTCCGCTTCATGGCTCCTTGCCTCCGGAGATGCAGGTGAGGCTTTATAATATATTTTCTTTCAAAAATGCATTTTAATGTCCTTAAATAAACCTTTGTGATCGAATATAAATATCATACATCCTTGCTTAATATTTCACATCCAGCATTGTGATTACAGTTATTATTATTTATTCCTCATTTGGATGGTCCTCTCAACCATGTCTTGGGGGTGTTTTAGACTTTGCTGCACCATTGGTTGAGGGTGGTGCTTTGGATTCCCTTTCCAGTTGTGGTCTGGTATTGGAGACATTTAGAATGCTGCTCCTTTGTGGATGGGATAAAACTGGTTTTTCCATTTTTATTCCACTTCCAAATTGCACGTTTTTGTGTGTTCATGAATATATGGCAGGCCTGAAATGTGGTCAGTTTTCAAAGCCACCCTTAACCTCTTTGTAATGCTTCTCCTGATTGGACCAAATCAAATTTCATCTTCATGTTTGGAGTTACGAACAAGAAATTTGGCCTAGTCTTTCATTTCACGAGCAATCGCATCTGATTATGGGTTTGCTTTCGTCATATTGAGAGGTATCCTTTTCTTTGTAAGAGTGTACTTTTCTATCGATGGTTTTGTTTTTGCTTTTCTGCAGGTAAGAGTATTTCAACCAGCACCCCAAAATTGCCGGAGATTCATTGTTGCCACAAATATTGCTGAAACATCTTTGACTGTGGATGGAGTTGTGTAAGAAGATATTTACTTCAGTTGGTGGGACCATAATTGTTGCTGACCGTTGCCTTTCTGTTGAGATTGCTCATCATAAATTTTCCTCTAATCTGCTTCCTCTGTACTTAAACACTGTTCTAACACCACTTTATGGTTTGGGATTCCTTCTGGCTTTGTGATGGTTCAGCATTCTTTTTAGTATGTCTTTTGTTTTCAATAATCTTGGAAATGAACTGAACATTAATTAAAACCGACAGGTTTCTCAATTTGATATTCTTGTGGACACCTCTTTTAGTTGGATCAGTTGCATTGGCTGAGACAGAATTTTAAAAGAAAATTGGGAAACAAGGGAAGTTTCATAAAAAGGTAAAAAAAATAGAGAGGAAAAGTGGAAATTCATAATCAAATTTTTATTCGCTTACCACTTTAATTGTAATTTTTATTTTTTGAATCTATTATCCAGATAAACTTCTAATTATAGCCCAAAACACATCATGCACATAGGGAATGTTGCCCCTAAGGATGTCTTGCATCGATTCCTAGGTTTTTATTTATTCTAATAATAGGTTCCTTATGAAGATGTTTGCATGTGAAAAACTGGGAAAACCAGTAGAACAGTTCTGTGAGCCATGGGTTTAGAACTAACAGCCACAAAGCGGAGTAAATATATGAAGAATCCAGGCCTAACTAGTTCATTTCTAAAATGACTTGTTGAGCTATATTATATGTTTATTGAACTGCAATTCTTTTGAGAATGACCTATGGATCTAGAGGGAACTCATTTGACACAGTTTAATCCCTGCAAATCAACTGAATTTTAGTTGATTGGGTTAGGTTGCTAGGTTTTTGTCAAACTAGTGAGACCAGGTTGGTGTAAATGCATGGCCCAGGAAGTTACCTTGTGGGGTCTACTTTGGGCTATCAAGGCTTGGGCAGCCATTTCTCTAGTGATCTTGCCCCACAACTATGTTCGTCATGCCTTTGGAGGGAACCTGTGGGATTTTTGTGATCATCGCCTATGCTCTTTGTTGTTGTATTAGATAACCGTTGAATACTGTAATTCGAGTAATTCGAGAATGCATTTAACAATCCCAGAAAAATATTGGCATGCCAGATTTACGTATAATTTGTTCTTTTATACATGTAAATGTTGGCGTGCTGGGTTTACGTGTTAATTTGATTTTTTACACATCTTTCCATGTAAACTTGGAATATTGGAATTACAAATGATTATTTCTTTTTTTTTGGGTTAAATTTTGTTGTTTATGTTGATTCAAGCCTTCGATTATCTCAATGCTAATTACCCTTATTTGGCAGGTACGTTATTGACTCAGGATATGTGAAGGAACGGAATTATAACCCTTCTAAGGGCATGTATTCTCTTGACATTGTTAAAATTAGCAGGTGAAGGGATTTTAGTTTTGGATCTTCCGAGATTCAATGAACTATTTTCTTCTCTTGTATATTTTTTATTGCACTTCTGAATTTGTAACCAATTTGAATGGTATTAGTTGCTAATTTAGAGAACTTGATTGTTATTTGTTTTTATTTTGATTAAGTCATGTGAGCTAGCAAAATTTTAAGCGGTTTTGTATTTATAGACTGTACCATTGTGGCTGGTATGTTTCAATTTAGAATTGTTTTCATTTATTTGCTTTCATGTCTTTACTTTATTATGCAAGGCATGCTCATACTGCATTCATATGGTTTTTATTTGAAAGAAGTGGCTCTGCGGAATTCAATGGAATAAAATATCTTTTCTTTTATGGGAAAGGCTTCTAAACTTCCCCTACAACATAGAAAATATATACTTCCTGCTCTATCCAGCCATCCAATTTAGCTCAAGTGAGCCGCTAACTGTTTGATCGAGATCCGACGTCTTAGAGTATTTTATTTTTAGTTTTTTTCTAATAATTGTATGAATATGAAATTTGCTACGTGTCATCTTCTCAATGTGGCGCATCTAAAAAAAATATTAAAAATAATTTTTTGATAAAATATAATGACCAAAATACCCCTTGAAACTTTCAGGGGTATTTTGATCATTTCTTTTATTGAGAATATTTTTTACTAATGTGAGTTTAAGAGAGGAATGGACGCCCAAAATTTGATGTCAAAATATTTTGTAGAAAAAATTAAAAATAAAATAGTATAGAGACGTGATATTGTGATTGGGGCCATCTCAGCCATCCATTCAAAATGGACGGTTGGATAGGGGGAAGTATATATATTTTATACAGTAGGGGAAGCATAGAAAGCTCACCCTTCTTTTATTAATGTATTTGAATTCCACTTAAAGGTGCTACATAACACTGCTATAAATAAGATATAAACCTTAAATACAACCTAGGATCTTTGCTTTCACTGCCAAATAGAATAGACACAATCTAGTATTAAAAAATAAGCTTTGACTATGAACTTTAGTACAAATAATGTTCTTGGACATACAAATAACTAGCAAAGTATGATTGAAAAATTAAACTAAATAGCTAGGAAGACTTACTTAAATTTGCCTAGGGTCACCCCTGTGGGACTTAGTACATCCCACACTCAATTACCTGACCGATGACGCACTCTGATCCTATTGGTCTTGATGAATTTTTTGGGACTGAAAGCTTCCTCAGGCGATATCTTTCAGATCTAGGGTTTTGGGAGCATAAACAAGGTTACGGTTTCTAGACCCCTTTTTAGACCTCTCTAGGGCATGCCTTGAAAGGCACCTCCCTGGGTCTTACTGTGGGATAGGCGTCCCCCTCTCTATTATCTTTGGGTGGTGTGCCACCCTTAGTAGCCTAGGGTGGTGCCTGCCACCTTTTAGTGATTAGAGAGGAGAGAGAGAGAAAGAGATAGAGAGATTGAGGCATGAAGGAGAGTGAAGTAAGATAGAGAGGCTAGAATGTGCTGTAGAGAATGAGGCGGTTTCTCTCCTTATATTGACCTTAAGGGTCCTAGGTATACCTATCCAAATGACGACTCATCATGACCAATAGGCAATGCTCGAAAGGTTGGCCGCATTGAAAGGTGGACTATTTGACTTGGCAAGTCTACACCGATTAAAATTTTTCTAGCTTTTCTTATGTATTGCCATCCGAATTACTCACAGGTGTCCGAATACAATATATGAACCAAATAAAATGCCAAGGACTCTCACTTACTTGCCATTAAAACAAAATTACATTCATAACATAGATCTGAAAATTATATAAAGATGCAATTAAATCAAGAGAGCATAAAATAGGAAATTACTGCATACCTTACCTTAGGTTATCCCAAGGACTTAGCATATACCATCCCGGGTGTCCTCCTTGAATGGCACACAGGATCTAGGTCCAAACTTGTCTCATAACTTTGGAAGCCTAGGCAAAACTAGAAGAGACCACAACATGGGATAATCTAAACCAAGACTCAACACATGAGCACAAGGCCAAGACCTATGGCTAGGCTTTGTGTCTTGGGCGTGAAAGGTGTGGCTATGTGGAACTCAAGGTATTAAATTAAAAAATTATATTATTTTTATTCGAACTACTTGAATTCTACTTATATGTGCCAAAATATATTGCTGAAAAATTAAAACAATGCCTTAAATACAACTTAGGATCTTTATTTTCACTATCAAGAGACAGAAATTATCCAGAAACTTTAAACTAACTTTTTTTGCAATTCTTAATACAAAATAAGTTCTTGGATATTTACAAAAAAATAAAAAATAAAACTGATAAATAAATAAAAACTAATGAAAAGACTTACTGGAAGATGCCTGAAGTTATCCAACCAGGACTTGGTACACCCACACCTGATTACCTGACCAATGACGCACTTTTGCTCCTTAAGATGTTGCTGGAAATTTTAAGATAAGGAAGCTTTATAGGCAATCCTTCTTCTTCTAGGGTTTTAGAGAGCTCAAGAATAATATAGGGTTTATGGAACTCTATGATCTTGAAGTTGATCTTTCTAGGCGAGGCTTTTCTCTTCTTTCTTCAAAACAACAAACCTCGTTTTAATACCTCTGCTTCTTCTTCTTCAAAAATGAATTACTCAAAATAAAACAAGAGAGAGGGGAGAGTGCGTGACTCTCTAGGCTGAAGAGAGGGTGGCATGATGCTCAAAAATTAAGATAGAGAGATGTGTGAGAGAGAGGTCTCTCTTTACTTTGTGCATGGAGGAAAGGGGAGAGAGAAGGTGGCGTGAGAGGGATCTCCCACCTTTTGGTGCGTGAAGGGGAGAGAGAGGGATTGACGCAGAGAGAGAGATCCCCACTTTTTGGTGCGTGAGGGGGAGAGAGAGATCCAATTTGGTGTGTGAAAGAGAGAGAGATCTCCACTTTTTGGTGTGT